AGAGAGAGAGAGAGAGAGAGAGAGAGAGAGAGAGAGAGAGAGAGAGAGAGAGAGAGAGAGAGAGAGAGAGAGACGGCTGTCTTCGTGGAGGTTATGCAAGAAATGCATAGCAAGGAGGTTATGCAAGTCTGAAACAGAGCACTGAAACAGATCGTGCCGGTGATGAGCACTGCAAAGCACCTAGACGAGGCCCGCAGCAGTACCTTCTCCGAGAGGCAGGCAGCGAAGAGTAGACCGGCTATGGCTAAGTTTGGCAGCAGAGCAAGGAAGAGAAGCAGAGCCATGTACGCGCTATGCACGGGCGAGAACGCGCAGCTGTCGAATATGGCGGGCGCAACGGGGCACATCGCGACGCTTTGCATAGTGTAAGACCGATTGTTCGATCAGGGAAGCAAACTGGAGGGTCTCACGCAAGGAGCGTTACCACTTCCTCCTCCTCGCGTTGCTCCTCCTCCTGGTCCCATTCGACAAAGAAGTCCATGTCGAACCGGTCCGCACAAGGCTCCCGCTCAAACCGTATTGCACCGCGACCCTCCCACTGTCAGAGCTGATAATCGCACGGTGGATCGATGAATAGCCCCCTACGTGTCTAGTCCTAAAATAGTCCTAGTCCCTTCCCGTATAGTACACTTGTGTTAAACGCTTCTCGTGCCATCCATCTGTTTAGTGCGTTAATCCGTCGATCGAGAAAATTCATGGTGTATTAAAAAAAAAAAAAAAAAAAAAAAAAAAAAAAGACAAGAAAAGAAAAAAACGAAAAAAAGAGAAAAAACGTGGGGAGTCGTGGAATTACAAGGGTGAAATGCCATCCTATTGGGGGGCCAGTGGTCGAAAGGGTAACGCCTCACGTGTGCCCGGTTGGCCTGCTGCTCCCTCACCAGCCTATATCTCCCAGCCGAGACCGAGAGCGAGCTGCTCTTCAGGTCCATAGGTGTCTATCCTACTCCTGCGTGGGGTCAGTGTCACGGGGGAGGTGGAAGGGTCCCCGTTCAGCTTGCGCAAGCTTAGAGCAATCCGCTACTACCCCCCGAATGATTCACCGAAACGAAAAAAAGGAAACAAACAAAGCATGAGAAAAGTAGGGAAAGAAAAACCGGACAGACACAAAGAAAAACAGGAGAAAGGTAAAACAAAAATGAAAAACGACAAGGGAATGCCAACGGTAAGACGACAATGCAGAAGGTCCTTATTCCCGCGGGGGCAGCTGTCTCTCGTCCACAAGCTCTCCCTCCCAGCCACCGTTGATACCCCTGTATGTGTGTGTGTGTGTGTGTGTGTGTGTGTGTGTGTGTGTGTGTGTGTGTGTGTGTGTGTGTGTGTGTGTGTGTGTCCCACCCCGTTCCCTCCGCGGAACAGCCGGGGCCGAGGGGGACGGTTGTCCAGAGAACAACCGGCCCTCTCGGCGCAGTTGCCCCCCGGATACCATCCACACACAGACACACCTACACAGACAACAACACAGCAGTAAGTCGACAATCCCATGCAAATTAGCCAATGCTTCCCTAATCATATGCACAGACAATCTGCCAGGCTGGTAAAGGTAAGCATTCCGAAGAGTCTTCTTGACCACTTTCCAACAGGCGCTAGCAGCGAAGCCATTCCCCACCATCGCCTGCACCACCTTCGCGATCTCATTCGCTGCGTCCTTTGGTTCTGAGCAGATCATAAATATCTGAGCTACCTGTGCCGTAATGATCTGCAACGACTGCTTGGTGCTCCGGTTGGACTTGTATTTCATGAATCGGCAGGGCGAGAAGCCACGACCAGCGCGCTTATCGTGCTTGGATATAATGTACGTGCCCGTGATCGGTGATGTGACCGTAATGGTCATGCTGAGGAAGTTCGCAATGCGGCCAACTCCGTCCTCGCACACTTCTGTGTTCTCCTTGATCTCGATGAACTGATCGGGATAAATCCAGCAGGGGTCACCCGCGTCTCTCTCCCCGGATCCGCGCAGAAAGTCCCTAATCACCGCGTTATTGATGGCACCAAGTTTGTCGATGTACCTGAAGGTGCCCTCGAAGTACGGGATCAGGTGGGCATTCCCTCTGTCCGCCAATCTCATCATGGCGTGAAACTCGTACTTGAAAAAGTATATGTCACACCAGATTGGGGAGCACACGAGCCCCATAGGAATGCCCCTCACCTGTCGCCACACAAAATCGCCCATTCGCAACAGGCTATTGGCAATGCACCACTCCGCGATCCAGCAGATATCCCCTTCCTTGAATAAGAGCGACCCCATCTCCTCGCGCTGCTCATTGTCCACCCATGATGGCCACAGACTGCCCTTCTCGCCAAATCTGATACGAACGGTATGGCAGGAGCTCCTCTCCCTCCTTATCTGCATTGCGGACTGTACGTAGAATATGATCGCAGCGGGGAGGCTATCCTCCGAGTTGTCTGTCGGGATCGCCTCGAAACACCTCGTAATGTCGGCGGTGAAGATGGAATAAACTTTCTTTGGCAGATTCGCATGGAACTCGCCCATTGAGGCTATGGCCCACCATAGGTTGGGTCTGACCCCGTATTGCTCCTCTACCTCCAAGCTCTTCTCTTGGAAAAACGCCTGCACCAGCGGGAGAAGGAATCGCAGCAGACAGGCGCACACCTCCGCAGCGGGGGAAAGGATCGAGTTCGTTGTGTTCGTAATCCATCGGAACGTACCCTTGTGCGCCTTCAGTACCGCGATGATATATGGGAGCGTAGCCGGTGCCTCCGGGAGTGACGAAAAGGCAGAGAGCTCACCCCGTATCCGTGAGGTGACCGTCTCGGCGGGTACTCCGAGGCAATTGAACTCCGCGCCAGATAGTCTCTGGAAGGCAGGTTTCCGGATGAAATTCTAACATACGAAGGCCGGGGTGTTAGGCGCTTTGTCCGTCGGACAGATAAGGAATCTGCCCCTAATGAACTCCAGCTCCCTCTTGACGGCAGGATGCTCGAATGGTTCTGCGACCGCATGCCTGTGCGCCGCCCTGAACCTTATCATCTTCCCCCTTCCTTTCTTTAGGATGATCCTGCGTAGAAGTGACTTAGTCGAATTCGTGAGATCCTGCAGCTCCATTACCTTTGCGAAGAGATTGTCTTGAAAACGTTCCAATTCTCCCATCGCCTCCTCCACGTCGAGAGCCATGAAGGGGATGTGGTTGAGGCCCGTGTTGATGAATCCCTGCAACAGTGGGTTATCCGTGATTGATGAATCCAAGGTGATGACATGCGTGCACCCCTCGTTGTGAAGCAGCTCTATCGACCAGTTACTCCGCATGTCCGCATATCTCCGAGCTCTGCAGGGGAACTGCTCCGGGTCATAGCTGTCCAACCATTGAGACACGTCAAAGTCGCAGAATACTTCCGCCAGCCTGCAAAGTTTCGAGGCGATCTTGGAGTTGTACGTCCACCCGATCCTGGTGCGTTGTAGCCAGCTCGCCGTGTCGTCTCCGATTATCGTACTGAGCACATCATTTACCAACTTTCTAACGGAGAGCGGCTCCATCACGCGGCTAGTGTACCGCAGATGCAGAAAGTTGTCGCAATCAAACTTTTGTCTCTCCCACGCCCTCCTGCGGCTTGGAAGGGTAATCATTTGTCCGTGGGCGTAAACCCATCTGTTCGGATCCTGCGCTTACATGCACACGACGGGGAGTATGTCGGGAAAAGAAGCATACCAAAAGAATGATCGAAGATCCGTCCCATGAGAAGGCAGGGAATCCTGGAGCACAATCGGGGGAGCGCAAGAGAGAGGGGGGGTGGGGGGATAAAGAGCGGGGGGGGGGGAAAGGGGGAGATGGAGATTCGTAACGGAGGGGAAGGGGGAAGGAGGAAGGAGCGGGCCGATGTTCCCCTTGTTTCTACGTCTTCGTGGGGCATCTCCTGGCGTTAGCAGCTCCTCCCCTGCCGGCACCCCTCCCACCCGTGCTCTTCGTCCTCTTTCCTGCTTGAGTGAGCGTGGAGTGTGCCGAACTCTCCGGTGAGATGTGGATGACCGGCGGCGGGGTGAGGCCCCTGATGTCCACCAGGGGGTGAATGGTCGGAAGCACAGAAGCTAAGACCGGCAGCCAGGTAGGCGCGTGTGGTATCGATTGCCGTCCCCCATCAAGGAGCAGGTTAATGGGGGTGCTGCCTGAGTAAAACGCGCCGGTCCGAAGCGGTGTATTCGCGGCCGCCATCGCGGGCTGTTGCGGGGGTGGGATAGGAGGTGGAGGAGGAGGAGGGGGAGGAGGATGAGGAGGTGGATGCGGGGGAGCAGCAGTCGCAGGTCGGGCCGGCTGGAAGTTAAGCGTGGACTGGCCTGGCAACTGTGCCGTCCGATTCCTCTTCCGTGCTGTGGCACGTGGAGAACTGAGCGGGACCCTTGTGGGTTTCTCTGGAATTCGGGTGGGGAGCAGGATGCGTGCGAGCGCCATGGGAATCGGGTAGTTCGAGAGGCGATCCTCTTTTAACACGGTTTCTGCATTCAGGGTTGCGTCCTCTTCGAGTGCCTTAGTGTAGCTCAACATCAGGTCCCTGAGGAAGTGGAAGCTGATGGTCGCGATTACCCCCTCCCTCCAGGTGGTCCTGAGATAGTGGATGAGCATCGAAGTCCGAATTTTGATCGATGACATGCCAGGGAACAGAATGTCGGGATGCGCCAATAGGTACCATATCTCATGATCGAACCACAGAGGGGTATCTCCACAGTCTTTACTTTTTTCTTTCTTGCATTTGCATTTGAGGTATAGTCTGTCGACACTCCATACTTTCCTCAGAATCCTGAGTTCCGGTTTTTCATCCTGCCTGATGCCCTTCTGCCACATTCCTGAGTTCGTTTCTCGGCATTTGTCAGGATCCAGCTCGCGCATGGAGGGAAACTTCAGATCTTGGGGATCTAGCAAGATGACCCTGCCACAGAACTTCAGCTTTCCCTTCAGTATCTGCGTCCTGCAGTGCGTAACTTGTTCATCTGTGACGTTCCCAAGGAATTGGAGGGCTCGAATAGAGATCGGTGCAAGATGGTTGAAGGTATCCATCTTCCAGATTGCGTGCTTGAAGCCGGTGGACGTATGTTCAACCGAGTATGCGGATGCTACGGGTGCGAATGCAGTGTATTGGTCGCGTTCGATGGCGTCACCGCCGGTTTTGTTTGACGTGAGCGGGGAATCCACGGCAGTGGCGCTTATGGCAGCAATCGCACGTTCCATCTCAAGCCTCTCCTCTTCCTCTATTGCGAGATCATCGCAGTGTGCTGCCAAAGTGCCCTGAGCGTCGATAGTATCACCCATCCGAGTTTCGGGGATCCGATCCTCCAGGTGGGAGTCATCCAATCCCCAAATTTAGAGGAAGATCTGTTCGATCTTCGCGGATCTCCCTCTGAGCTCCTTGCATTCCCTTCCATATTCCTGTTTCCTTAACTCGAGCTTTTCGCAGAGCGCACCCAACTCCCCGTCGAAATCGTCCCTGCTACGGTCCCAGGCACCCGCGAGCACGGCGAGATCACTAAATCCGATCATTTCAAAAAGGTGGGGGTATTGGCCAGAGTCCCATCTCTCTTTTAAAGCATCAATGACCCCAGGCTTGACGCAAGCAAATAATGCCTGTGTGGGTCTCGCGGGACAGACGCATTCCTGCAGCCATGGGTATCGATGCACAATCTCATTCCACCATCCTCCAGGGAATGCCTTCTTGGGGGGCGGAAGGACCTGTGAGGTTTGAAAGTTTCGAAATCGTTTGCGCATGACGGGCAGCAGCAAGGTGGGGCGACCAGAAAGATAGGGGAAAGAGATGCCAACCCATCCGTAGAAAGAGGGACCGTTTACATCAGAAGGAACAGGTAAAACAACAGAGTCGATAATCAAGCAAGCAACAAGGGGGGAGGGGGAGAAGAAAGGAGGGATGAGGAGAGGGATGATGAGCAAGGAAGGGTATCACTAGTGGGGGACGGAAGGGAGGGGGGGAGGGAGAGAGGGGGGGAGTAGAAAACATGGACAGGGACATAGCGTGGTTAGCATTATCCGCAATAGCATCGCACGTCGGATATGACAGTCAAGAAATAGGACGCGCCGTGTAACTTCCCCTTCGTTCGTCCTTTCCGCGGGTATCGTGTCTTTTCTTCACACGATCGGCAAAATCCCAGGCGTCAAACCTGCCGACGTTCAGGCGACTAAGGCGTACCCCAATGGCTACTACTGCCACCCGAATCCACGCAACGGCATGCATGAAATGCCGTGAAAGGGGGGACCACAGTGCGGCCAGGGGGGGCACCCCCCAGCAGCGCTTGAGGAAGCTCGTCCTCCCGAGTGTGTCGCATGTGTGAGTCACATGAGTTATGCACGGGTACGACACGTCATACTTGCGCAGCTCCGACTATACGTGTCGGCACACTGTGGGCAGAGTGCAAGGCACGGAGGCGATCAACAAAAGTAGCGGGGTAGAACCTCATCGTACGCCCATATGTGGTGAAGGTGAGAAGGGTCGTCTTGCCGTATGACATATAAGTATACAAAACCCAATGGGACGGGAGAGAGAGGGTGGCGGAAGTCCATTTTTCTGGCCGACTGAAGCAAAGGTAGTCATACAACGAGCAAAGAATGAAAATAAAAATAATAAAATAATAAAATAATAAAAATAAAAATAAAAATAAAAATCAATAAAACATAAGGTATAATGAACATAGTTGAGCCTCCAAACGTCCCGGTTACGAGAAGTCTTTAAGAGATTCCAATCGCAAAGGCGACAAACAGTCATTCACAGAAAAAAGAGCATACTGGACCAAGGCGAACACAGCTGAGTCTTTATAGATCAACGTTGCGAGAAGCATTCGAAAGATTCCAAACATAAAGGCGACAACAACCATTCATAGCGAAAAACAACTTAAACTCACGTGTACATAGTCGAGTTCTCATACATTTATATTGTGCGAAGCATTCGAAAGATTTTTATTCGCAAAAGCGAGAATAGTCATACACGATGGAACAAAGAGCGAGAAGATTCTGACGAGGATCAGACCCACGCAGTTAGCCATCCATGGAGGAAGAAGAAGAACACGAAGGAAAGGAAGAAGAGATGAGGAGGGCATAAAGCGCAAGCACTTCGGTGAAAGCAATGACGAAGCCACGTAGACACAGTTCGAAAAAGCACAAGAAATCTTCCCTTAAAAGGAATTATAGCGTCAGAACAAAATCACGACCAACTTCGCTCACTCCGTTGCCAATATCCGCATGCGCAACCACTTATTTAAGAGATGACGAGCGGCGAAAAAAGGGGGGGAAAGGAAAGGAAAAGAAGAGGACGATCCTGCTTCAGCTCTATCCTTCAGGTCCGCTGAGCTCCTGTTTCCGCACGGACCATCTCGCCGAATCAGGAGGATGGGCATGGCAAGTCCCTAAAGCACTTTTCTGCCCCATGCTATCTGGGGCGTCATCAGAGGGAGAACATCTTCCACGATCTCTGGAAGGTGGGGAGGTTGATGGAGGGTGTGGGGGGGCGTTCCGACGAGGGAATGGTGGACGGGGAGGGGGGGCGGAAGTTGGGGAGGAGAGGGGAAAGGGGAGGCATGGAGGGCAGAGTTCAGACGTAGGGGGGAAGGGGAGGGAATAGATGAAGTAGAGAAAGGAGAGGAAGGACAGGAAGGAGATAAAGGCTAAAAAAATGTGCGACGAAGTCCTCGTCGTCATCTTGAATTCCATTATCACCCTAGCGCGCTATGCACCCGAGTTGCCCGGCCAGCTGTCAATCGCGAGCAGAAAGAGCAGACAACAGCATCCCGCAAGAAACAGAGCACTGAAACAGATCATGCCGGCGATGAGCGCTGCAAAGCACCTAGACGAGGCCCGCAGCAGTACCTTTTCCGAGAGGCAGGTAGCGAAGAGTAGACCGGCTCTGGCTAAGTTTGGCAGCAGAGCAAGAAAGAGAAGCAGAGCCATGTACGCGTTATGCACGGGCGAGAACGCGCAGCTGTCGGATATGGCGGGCGCAGCGGGGCACATCGCTACGCTTTGCATAGTGTAAGACCGATTGTTTGATCAGGGAAGCAAACCAGAGGGTCTCACGCAACGAGCGTTACCACTTCCTCCTCCTCGCGTTGCTCCTCCTCCTTGTCCCATTCGGCAAAGAAGTCCATGTCGAACCGGTCCGCACAAGGCTCTCGCTCAAACCGTATCGCACTGCGACCCTCCCGCTGTCAGAGCTGATAATCGCACGGTGGATCGATGAATAGCCCCCTACGTGTCTAGTCCTAAAATAGTCCTAGTCCCATCCCGTACAGTACACTTGTGTTAAACGCTTCTCGTGCCATCCATCCGTTTAGTGCGCTAATCCGTCGATCGAGAAAATTCATGGTGTATTGAACAAAAAAAGGGAAAAAAAAAAAAAAAAAAAGGAAAAAAAAAAAAAAAAAAAAAAAAAAAAAAAAAAAGATAAGAAAAGAAAAACCGAAAAAAAGAGAAAAACCGTGAGGAGTCGTGGAATTACAAGGGTGAAATGCCATCCTATTGGGGGGGCAGTGGTCGAAAGGGTCACGCCTCACGTCTGCCCGGTTTTCCTGCTGCTCCCTCACCAACCAGTATCTCCCTGCCGAGACCGAGAGCGAGCTGCTCTTCAGGTCCATAGGTGTCTATCCTACTCCTGCGTGGGGTCTGTGTCACGGGGGAGGTGGAAGGGTCCCCGTTCAGTTTGCGCAAGCTTAGAGCAATCCGCTACTACCCCCCGAATGATTCACCGAAACGAAAAAAAGGAAAGAAACAAAGCATGAGAAAAGGAGGGAAAGAAAAACAGGACAGACACAAAGAAAAACAGGAGAAAGGTAAAACAAAAATGAAAAACAACAAGGGAATGCCAACGGTAAGACGACAACGGAGAACGTGCTTATTCCCGCGGGGGCGGTTGTCTCTCGTCCACAAGCTCTCCCTCCCAACCATCGCTGATACCCCTGTATGCGCCGTCTCTCTCTCTCTCTCTCTCTCTCTCTCTCTCTCTCTCTCTCTCTCTCTCTCTCTCTCTCTCTCTCTCTCTCTCGCGCGCGCGCGCGCGCGCGCGCGCGCATGGGGGAAGGAAAAGCACAACGGTTTTCTTTTTCCTTGGTTTTACTTTTCCTTTTTCTCTTTTTTTTTTTTTTTCATTCTTCGTTTTGAGAATTCAGATGTTGTTTTTTTGTCTTATATTTCTCCGTTTTTCACTCGTTTCTTTCAGCAACACGTCCAGGAAGTGAACGCCCCGTAGCCCCAGCCTCGGCATGGATCGGCATACCGGTCGGCCAAGGCTCGGACTTGATAGCTGGGCGAAGTACTGGTGGTTGAACAAATGGTCATCATCGTTCCGGCGTGGTCACCTAGCACACCTCGCCCTGCCCAGTTCCCAGTGTCTTCCACACCGCCGTCCATGGCCTCCACAAGTGTGCTCAACATCGTCCCAGCACAGTACGGGGCAATCTGGCAGGCAGGGATCGAAGGACGGACGCACACGAAAGCGGCAGTACCGCATTCTGCAAGCGCGAACTTCAACAAGGAGCTCGACAACAGTCAGAATTTTGTTGGACCAACAAGGCCTCACCGGCCCTGACCAACGATCGCAAATGGGCTGCACGTGTCCACCGGCCGATGTTGACTCCTCCTGAGGGGTGCTGCCCCACCGATGACGCCCGAAATGGAAAGTCCTATGTCACTTTCTTGTCAGAAACCGAGGCCCAGGGGAATGGAAAAAACAAGGGGGCGGTGGGATCCCCTCCAACTCCGCCTCTCCAATGGCGACAAAAAATTGTCATTGGCGGTGGGAAGAACAGAAGTCATCCGTGGTGCTGTGGGGTCCAACCTTTTTTTTCTTTTTTTTTTTTTTTTTGGGACAAAAAACTCCAACCTATTCGTGGGAAGCAACACGTGGTGGGAACCGGGCCCAGCGTCCCATATAGAATTATACAAATGATTCAAGAAATGATTTGAGATACCAGGGTTATTACTTGGCTTCGGCTAAGAACAATCTGAGAACTATGGAAAAGATTCTGAAAATTTTAAGAAAACATGGATAACTTGCTAACCTATTGCTAGGCTACTTAAACAGTACTTAAGCTTGAAACAATATGAGAATCGGGGGTCAAAACTGAAACTGGCTGCTATCCAAATCTCACTTCCGCAACAGACGGAACGTCAATCCAGGCTTTCAGACCTCGTACCAGAATTCACTTGATCTCATACCCCCTACTGCTAGGGTAACAGGGCACCACAACCTTCCCCAGTACTAACCAAACTAGTTCTAACGGACAGGAAGTGCCTTCCTTCCTTGATATTTCCCATAGCGGAAAGCCCCTGACACAGGTTACAGGGTTAATACCCCGGCGCCGACAACGTCGAACGGTCTGGTTATGCCTTCCACTCTCGGCATAACTCCAAAGGCCTCAAGCTCC